TACCTATGATTAAGGATTCCCGACGGAATCCGAAATTTCAGGAAAATAAAGCTCTTGTTCCAGTGGTCGCGTCTTCTTCTGAACAGATATACTCTCATATCCTGCTTACGGCTTGTTAATTTTAAATATAAATATTTTCAACCTGTCGAGTAGCCGCAGACTCAAACCCAGTCTCTTTTACCAGTGAACACTTGGTCAAGCGTTCTATCTCCGCGATAGGGTCTGCATCCTGTTGTCTGTTGTCAGATGCATATTAAACCTGAAATGAATGCTACTCGAGCCATTGGCCTCTCGAAGCAAGCAAGTTCCATACAGGTGGAATTGCTCATGAACAGGCAACCGGCTACCAGACAAGTCTACCCAATTACGATAAGACCAGCTAAGATTAATACAGTATTGTTTCGAACTTATTCCGCCTTTATGAAGTCAATCGTGGCCAGAAACACAAACATGTGCTCGTATATGTCGCAACCGGTTCACATTTATTTACTCATAGATGAGCCAAAATCACTTCATCGAATCTAAATGCATAAGTGCCGCGCAACCAATCATTGTCTGTCAATACAGATCAGGTAAGGGTTCATTCAGGGATCGGCGCACGACGATCTATTGGCTTCCCAAAGCAAACTGTCTCCGTCTTGGTAGCAGTGGTCACTAACAGACAATCAACTATCAAGCCGAAGTCGCCGATCACACATCAGCAGTCAATCATCCGCACAGTGAGGACAAATTTTACACAAATAAGTGCGATGTTGGACGAGTGCATCAGAGTCCGAATATTATTTCCCCGACAATATAGTTCACTTACGAAGAGGCAGCAGGACATTTCTATCCATATCGTGGTGCATGATTACCGTGGCTGTTAATGGAATGCATACATTCCTCGATGCAGTGTTCAACTGAAGGCTATGTTGCATAACTATAAATTGTGCGCCCCCAGTTATGTAATTTTTGTATCTGATTCACGTCTGAACATTTCGGTCAATCATCCAGTGGTTCTGGCACAACATGCGTACTGGTATGACTTGACGATGGGGTGCAACTTTAGTTTTTGAAGACCGCCACTCATAGTTTTTTTCCACGTTGTAGCTATTACCTATCGTGTAGACTAGGTTGCTCTCCGTGCATTTAAATAATCGAACTGGGGCTTTTTTCAGGGATTGACAGTCACTATTCGGGTAAATACGTTTCTCTGTCTGCTGCGGAAATCCATCATTTCCTCTCGCTAGTCCGTATATTCTGAAGGGAAAATGTGATCGTTAGAAAGAGAAGTTTATTGGCCTGACGTTTCGGATTATCACTCGAACCCAGTACCAGAAACAAAACCAAAAAGGGTACAGGGTACGCAGTATTTATAACCCGTGGTGGCCGCACGACCACATACGTACTTAAATTCGCAGCTCCCTTGATCGTCGTTGGGGGGCCGTGATTGATGCGTTGATAGTTTGGCGGTCCGCGTCCGAGTCCTTAATTGCCGAACTCCTCGCAAGAGGTGACAACCACGTGAGTCGCGAGCTGCTCAAGTTATAGTTCTCAGACTCGCAGTCCATCAACAATCATCTGGTTCCATTATTTGACGCCTTATAGTTGCTTCTGACCTGTGTGCGACTCCATGTGGTGCAAGGAGGTGGCCGACGGCATCCGAAACTTTTCTGACGCACGGAATCGCTTGCCAAAATTTGGGGTTGGTGCAATTTTGTTGTCCATCTTGTTTGTGCATGCACCGGTTGGAGAAGTTGCGCGGGTAGCCATTTTCTCTGAAATCACTTCGAAGATATTGTATTTCGGCAACTTTGTCTTCTTGTTCGCTGCAGTGCGTCTCAACATGCCGATAAAGCGTCCTTATACAACCGCGTTTGTGGCTGATTGGGTGGTTGCTATTGAAGTTCAGTACTTGCGTTGTATTTGTCGCTTTCCTGAACACTTTGGTCTTTAGGCTCCCAAAACCTTCGCGACAGACGTGAACATCAAAGAAGAGCAGTTGGTTCTCCATTGTCAATTGTTTGTCCTAGAAGACGCTTTTGAGACATTCTTTGCACGTGAGCACTTGATCCCGTTCGAAGACGGTGAAGGTATCACCCACATACCGCGCCCGAAATTTTGGTCTGTGTTGTTGGAAGACCAACGACTTTTACTCAGTCAATATACTGCTTCGATCTCATTAGATTGATGACGTACTTAAAGAAGTGACTCAAAGCACCAAATAGGCCCTAGGCGCCTATGTAGACTCCCATCTATGACTGTATTAGGCTCTCTATTTTCAGGATTAAAAAATCAAAGACATCTTTGGCCTATCCCTGGTCGTTCCAGATAAGGACCAGCGTGGTTTTCTCTTCTTTCAATCGCTACTTTTCAGAGTTGTCAACACTTTTTCAATCATATTTGCATCATGCATTATAGTGAACCTCTCTTTCCCTTGACCCAAAACAGACACGATCTCAGCCCCTTGACGATTTTTCCATCAAAACAGTTTGCTACCTTCGCTGACTACTACACGAGCAAGTACAATGTGAATTTGTCAACAGTAGATCAACCCCTGCTTGACGTGGACTTCACAGTTCTGCGTCTTTGTCTCATTGTGCCACGGTACCTCAATCCACGAGGTCACAGTCTGCCCACCACCAATGAGGCTAAGAGACAGGAACGGTTGGAAAGTGTGCGTCACAAGCAGCTACTCATTCCAGAACTCTGCTATCGACACGCCTTCCCCGCTTCAGGTCAGATATTAACTTAAGCTACTGACTTCGTTTCAGTTGGCGCTTTTAGTTAACTATTTAATATTTTTCTTCCCTGCTTGGATAGTCTGGCGCAAGGCTGTCTGCCTGCCGAGTATTATCTACCGGGTAGAACACTTACTGCTCGCGGAGGAGCTGCGCCAGTGGATTGCGCGCGACACGGGTCTAGGTTCCGCCTTACCGCCATTGCCGCAGGCGGCTGAGGAACTTGTCTTCCCGCCCCTCCGTTTCATCTTTCCGGTCGAGCTTACCGGCCAAATTCATCGC